AGGCGGGGGAGGAGGAGAGAGTGTAGGTAGATGCAGCGCAAGTCTACCGGCACTATAAACCCCCTGCGCAAGTCACCGTCCCTGTTCCCACCTGGTGTGGGGCACACGGTGGACATCGTCGAAATCGACGGTCGAACTGTCGAGTGTGTGTGTGTGTGTGTGTGTGTGTGTGTGTGTGTGTGTGGGGTGTAGGTGTGTCCAGCGGTGGGTTAACGTGAAGGTCGTAGTGGTCGCTCACTTGCTTGCAGGTGAGACTACACCTAGCGTCCATTGCTGGCACCCAACTCTCACCTGTGGCTCCACGTAGCTGGGCTCTGCTCAGCGGCCACACCCCGGGCAACCGCCTCGACCGGCGGGCTAAACCAGGTGAGGGCGCTGTGCGCTTGTGCCGCGTGCACAGTGTACTGCGGGCTCCGCTGGACGTTTGGTCGGATGAAGAGTTGCGCCGGCGTCGTCGAGACGAGGCTCTGCCTGGTACGCCGTTGGACAGCTGCTGCCGGGATGGGTCCCCGCATCGCCTTCGCTGAGACGCGCCCACCTACGCCGACGGAGACCGCAGACCTCGGCATATGCGGTCGTTCTCCACTACAAACCTAAACTCGTGGTCCCATAGTGGGACTCGGTCGCGCCAAACAGGCACACAGGCAGCCCGATTCGGGGGGCACTGCCTGTCCCCATTACGGGGGAGGGCCTAGAAAAGGTGGCCTAAACATTGCTGGGCACCACGCCGTCTCCAGGCTAGCCAGGGCCGCAGACGTATAAACATGGTCGAAACACTCAAAACCGAAACAACAACAATACCAATAATAACAACAACACCAACCATACTCCTTCTCCTCATCCTACCTCTTCTACCTCTACCTCCGTCTATTCTTCTGCCTATTCTTCTCCTTCGTCATCTCCTTCTCCACCTCCTTCCCGTCGCCCCACTCGTTTTCCCCAGACTGGCAGGGTGAGCCCGCTCACTCTGGCAGCCTGGAATGTTCGTTCCCTTTTAGACAATCCGAGGAGCAACCGACCGGAACGGAGGACGGCGCTAGTGGCACGAGAACTGGCGCGCTACAAGGTGGACATCGCCGCACTCAGCGAGACCCGATTCTCCGAACAAGGCCAACTGGAGGAGGTGGGTGCCGGTTACACCTTCTTCTGGAGTGGTCGACCCAGGGCTGAGCGACGAGACGCGGGCGTCGACTTCGCCATCCGGACCGACATCGTGAGACGACTGCCCTGTTTGCCGCAGGGAATCAACGACCGCCTGATGAGCCTCCGTCTGCCCCTCCGGCGAGGAAGCAAGTTCGCCACCATCATCAGCGCCTACGCTCCGCCGATGACCAGCCCCGACGCCGTCAGAGACAAATTCTACGAGGACCTGCACGCCCTCTTGGCGACTGTGTCGAAGGCGGACAAGTTGATTGTCCTTGGCGACTTCAACGTCCGCGTCGGCACAGACCATACTGCCTGGAGGGGAGTGCTGGGTCCCCACGGTCTCCGCAGCTCCAACGACAACGGCCTGCTTCTCCTCCGCACTTGCGCTGAACACCGCCTCACCCTGACGAATACCTTCTTCTGTCTGCCGGAGCGAGAGAAGGCCACCTGGAGGCATCCTCGGTCGCGTCAGTGGCACCTGCTGGACTATGTCCTCGTCCGGAGGCGAGATCAGCGGGACGTGCTGGTGACGAAGGCGATCGCGGGTGCTGACGGGTGGACCGACCATCGCCTCGTCATCTCGAAGATGCGTATTCGCCTACAGCCTCGCAGGAGACCACAAGATAAGCGACCCCCAGGTAAGTTGAATGTTGATTTGTTGTCTTTGCCTGCTCACCGTCTCCATTTCAGCAATGAGCTAGCTCAACGGCTAGACAACCTTCCTATCGCTGCCGTCGCCGACGCCGCCGCCGCCGCTGCCGAGAACGCCTCCGTGGAGAACCGCTGGTGTCAACTGCGAGACACGGTCCAGTCGACGGCGCTCGCCGTCCTCGGTCGCGCTCCCCGCCAACACCAGGACTGGTTCGACGACAACGACGCTGCCATCAGCAATCTGCTTGCCGAGAAGAGCCGTCTACACAAAGCCTACGTAGATCACCCCACAGCGGACAACAAAGCTGCCTTCTACCGCAATCGCCGCCAGCTTCAGCAACGACTGCGCGAGATGCAGGACGCCTGGACTGCTCGCAAAGCTGAGGAGATCCAAGGCTACGCGGACCGCAACGAATGGAAGAACTTCTTCTCTGCGATCAAAGCTGTCTACGGTCCGCCGACGAAGGGCACTGCTCCTCTCCTCAGCGCCGACGGCAGCACTCTCCTGACTGAGAAGACGCAAATTCTACAGCGATGGGCCGAGCACTTCCAGGGCGTCCTCAACCGCCCTTCCGTCATCTCCGACGCAGCCATCGCCCGCTTGCCGCAAGTGGCGACCAACGTGGACCTCGACCTCCCGCCATCTCTTCAGGAAACCATCATGGCCGTGCGGCAGCTCTCCAGCGGGAAAGCACCCGGATCGGACGCGATCCCTGCTAAGGTCTACAAGCACGGATGTCCCCAACTCATGGATCACCTGACTGCGCTCTTCCAGGAGATGTGGCGCCAAGGCGAAGTCCCGCAAGATTTCAAGGACGCAACTATCGTGCACCTATACAAGCGAAAAGGGAATCGCCAAGTCTGCGACAACCACCGCGGCATCTCCCTACTGAACATCGCCGGGAAGATCTTCGCTCGCATCCTGCTCAACCGCCTCAACAACCATCTGGAACAGGGCCTTCTGCCGGAAAGCCAATGCGGCTTTCGTCGTCATCGTCGGACCACGGATATGATCTTCGCCGCCCGCCAACTTCAGGAGAAGTGCCAGGAGATGCGGACTCACCTGTACTCTACCTTCGTGGACCTGACGAAAGCCTTCGACACGGTGATTCGTGAAGGGCTGTGGAAGATCATGCAGAAATTCGGCTGTCCGGAGCGATTCACTCAGATGGTGCGTCAGCTGCACGACGGTATGATGGCGCGAGTCACGGACAACGGCGCTGTCTCAGAGGCATTCGCAGTGACCAACGGAGTGAAGCAGGGCTGTGTGCTGGCACCAACCCTCTTCAGTCTTATGTTCTCTGCCATGCTGATGGACGCCTACCGCGACGAACGCCCCGGGATCCGCATCGCCTACAGGACGGACGGTCGTCTCCTGAATCACCGGCGCATGAACTTCCAATCGCGCTTATCCACAGCCACCGTGC